AGTAAAATTTCTTCAGAATCCCCAAACATAGTTAAAAGGAGGGGCCTCTACCAGATTCCAGCTCAGGTATATCTAGTTACATACCTATTGATAACAAATTACCTCGGGCATGGCCTCTGGTGACGTTGTATAATCAAGTTTAACCAATAGCGAGAGTTTAATAGGCCATATCCTATGAATAATCTAAGGACAATTTATGTACAACTAGTGAATGATTCATTCACGATTATTTGGTAGTACGTGCCTAGCATGAGTATGTGGGGATCATTGGATCAGATGTATACTGCTGTTGTATGATCATTTCATTCGCTTATAACGTCTCAGACACGATCTCGGCATGTTGTTCCTCCCAGGACTTGCCATCAATCTGTGAAAGATGAGATTACTCCATTTGCCTAGCCCGTATGTACAGTGAATGTCTCGATTTACTGCGACGGGAACGAAATAGGGAGGTGGGTGGGGTAGGAGTGGGGGTTTGTGGGATTGGGCAAGGAAATGTGGGTGGAAACAACGGAATATGGCTGAAGACAAGGGAGGATGGATGGAAGCATGGAATGAAGGAAAGGGAATGTGGGTAAAGGCATAAGAGAATGGGTTTAAGCAGGGGATTGTCTTTTGGGAAGCAGGTGTGAGTGGAAACAAAGAATTGTCTTTGGGGGAATGCAGGTGTGTGCGGAAGCAAGAGAATGAGTTGGAGTAGGAACAAGTGAGTGTGTGGGAATGGGATATGTATGGGAACTATGTAATGTTGGTATAGGCAAGGAAAAGTGGGTGGTGAGTGAAGTGAAGCTAATTTCAGTGATTGAAGAATAGGCGCAGTGGTTCACAAGGGAGTGTACTGCCCCACCTTACCTACTTTATGATTGCAGGGGACGACTCTCAGCTCTTGTCCTAGCCAGTTACCATTAGCAGGTTGATGATCCACTGGCCTCGTGAGTACCTCTTGCAATTTTTCCTACACATGTCTGTGGAATCTGCCTCAACCATTTCCACTTCCAAGAGATTCCACTTCCCGACCAACCAAAGACTAAAAAAATGGTGTTTTTCTGTGGGTCTGCGTAATTCCTACTGCTGCCTCACTGCCAAGAAACAACAATGACCCTTTACCAGGCTGTGCCTCATATTTGAGCAGATGCAACAATTGCAACCTATATTGTGACAGTATATGCAATTCTAAGACATATTTATTTGTGATCATTTTTTGAGTTTATTTATTTTTGGGCCATAAAATGCCCTTTTTGGCCGCATCAAATATGAGGCACCGCCTGACAATGGTTAAACTGTAGGTGACAGATCAGGCATCAAATTTGATGCAAGCCTGACAAAGGCATTTGTCTAAAAGAATCATAACAGCTGTTATAACTGATAATTAAAGGCATAAATTTACATTTAAGGTTTATTCATAAACAACTTGGGTAAACAAAAGGCACAGAAACTTGATTTCAATAAATTTAACACATTTTTTGTAATTGACATTTTATAAAAAATTGAAAAAATGTTACAAAAATATTATCAGAAGAACTTAAGCATGTTGTTGCTTATGGAATTCCAGGAAACAATTCCTCATTGAATTTAGACATAAATTAACCTTGCAGAAGGAACAAGCAAAGGAAGAGTAGGTCCTCTTGTTCTTGGTGTTGCAATGTTTACATGAAAGCCTCTTTGCAGAAACTGGCCAGTGTGTTTGTGTTTCATCAAATATTGTATCATGAGGCCTTTTTCTATGCTGATTGGGAATGTCATCAAGTGAAGAAGACCTTGAAGAAGACCGTGAAGTTGAACAACTTGGAGATCTCAGGCTCCTTGGGATTCCATTGGTTGACTTTCTTCCAGAATGGGAGATGGAAAACCGAAATTCCCTGAGGTTCATGTATTTCTCTTTCAAAGCACCACAGTCACGCCTGTACAACAACCAGCCATTGACACAACAAAGATCAATGATATATCCAAAGAGCCTCATGTACCAGCGTTTTGCTTTGAGTGGAGACTTGTAGAGATGCACCAACATATCATTCTTATCTATGCCCCCCCATATGGGCATTATAATTTTTTATCACTGCAGGACAGTCAACTTCCACCTTTTGTTTGAGCTCCTTGCTGTACCTCTTTATCTTTGTCACTGGGTTGATGCCAATATCATTAGTCAGTAAAGTAACAACCTTACTGTCTTTCCAACATACAGCAAGGACACCATCCAATGAACAGTAATCCATAGCACTCCTTTTCACATTTCTTATCACCATTGTCAGGTCGGGCCTCAATATCGATACAAAAATGGTAAGTGATAATCTACCATTGTCAGGCCGGGCCTCAATATTGATAGCAAAAAGGTAAACAAAACTTCAAGTGCATTTATTTGTTACTTCTCAATGCCTCAGGCAATTAATTTGCATCTCAAAATGAGGTTCAAACATTCAATAATGCACTGGAAACACATTCAGAAACTTACTTACATTCTGTAGTGGTGTACATTGGTGAAATATCAGGAGAGTGAGGGTCGAAATGCAGCTCCTTCAACAAGTCAAGCAGTACTGAACACTTGAGGAGCTCCCAGCCAATAGCAGAGGACAATACCCAAGTGACGCCACCTTCAAGCTCTGCCCAGAAGGTGTGTGATTGGCTGAATTGAGGTGAGAAGTCTCTGGGAGCATATGCATTGTGTCTATGGTGCCATGAAAACCATACTTTTGGTGCCTCAATATTGAGGCACCGCCTGGTAAAGGGTTAAAAAATTTTATGTTGCAAACTTGCAATTGTTAATAAAACACACCAAAACAATTTTTTAAATTTAATATACAAACAGACAATATAAAAAACATAAATGGAACTTGTATCAAAACATTTTTTAATTGTTACAAAAATATAAAAAGGAAGCAAATATCAACAATGCCAAATTGCAAAGTGATGCAAGTTTCAATCCCTATATTCCTGAGATTCATTTGGAAGACCAATGATTCTATATTGCTAAATGGAAAGATGGAAGTCTGAGAAACAATTTCTATCAGTCTTTATGAAACTTGAAGAGCAATATTCTCATGGATCTCTTCCTCATCCGGGTATTCCTCAATCCTAAAAGTTCTCTTTTTCCTCATTACTTTCTGCTTTTTGGCTGGCCTTTCTTCCCTTTCTTCCTCCTCATCATCACTTGACATCTCTGCATCCTGTGCATCCGGTGGCAAGTATTCATCACCACTATCCAGCAATTCTGGTTCGTCTACCTCTGGTTCTGAGTCACTGTCTTCAGAAACACAGACATACCTCGACCTGCTGGTCGACTGCTCCCCATAAAACAGCCTCTCATGGAACTGGAAGGACAATAGAAACCTCCTGTATAAATCCAGACCACTACAGAGTTCATATATGCAATTGAAAATTTCTTATAAATATTTATTTGACTAAAATTGGACATTCCCGGAAACTCGCGCAAGACCGAAATAATTCGGTCTAAAATGCTTGCACTTTTTTCAACTGCATGCTACACTCATATTATGCTTCACACGGACTTTAGGTATATATCAAAATATGCCTAAACTATTCATGTAAGCACTAAACACAACAATCAGTACTTACCGACATTGTAGAATGTATAATCCAAGAGTAGATTAGTAAGGGTGGAGGGAAAAATGCGTGTGTGGGCGAAGCCAAGCCACCAGTGTTTATATTTTGATCTCTCAACCAATGGGAAGGCGGCAGAAGCGAACTGTACTTAGCTGAAGAGACTCAGGGAAGGCTTGTGATTGGTTGGAACTAAAGAACGGGAAGCTGGCCGCGCGGGGCACGGAGTATGACACGCGCCAAAAACACGTAATTAAGACCGAATTTTTTCGGCCTCGCGCGACCCATGAATGGTGACCTGGTGGGAAGCGCAATCAATGACATTCTAAAAAAAAGCCGTAATTGTCATCCCGTAGTGGCCTAACACAAACTATAGCAAAATCATCGACATGAAGAAACGACCAAATATCGGATGGGATAACAGTGGCAACGTCAAGAATGGCTTCTTTATTCGGGGAGGGAAGGTAAAAATTTTATTTCCCTGATCGCGAAATCCCCTTTTCGACAAGAAACCCCCAGAAAAAGCTGAAAAAATTCCTAGGGGGCCCCAAGGAAGGGCTTGGGGAAAATTTCCTTTAGCCCCAAGGGTTTTTCCAAAACCCTTTCTTGGGGAAAAAATGAAAGACAAAATATCGGGCAGATTGTTAGCAAAAGTCTTGGAACATAGGTACCCCATTGGATTAAGGCGTCGATATTTCCGGGTTTACCATACCAAAAATTTGTTAAAAAAGCGTTTAACAATTTCCATATTACACTAGAAAAAACAAAAATGTGTGAAAACGAGAGTTGTTATACCCGACAGTATCTGGTTTAGGGAAAAGGGCAGGATAAGGGTGGGTTTTCCAATAAAGGAAGAAACCCCTTTTGGGACTTTTTTGAGATTTGAAAAAGCAAGAGGACTACGAGCCCCGTTGGTTTTTAAATTTAATGAAGAAAACTGACATTAATTTTCATCAGATCTAGCTACTGTAAGTTTGTTCATCTGCCCCAAACTACTGTCATTTGGCCCGTGAAAAGTTTTGGGACAAAAATTTTCTCAGACCTAAAGGGGGATCTTGCAATGTAAAAAGAAAAATCCAGATGTACGACCCCCTCTCTTGTTTAAAGGAAAAAAATAAAACGGGAGAGATGTACCCTTTTTTGGGATTCAAAGACAAGGTGAGAAAAATTTCAGTAGCAACCCCAAAAAGAGTCGCAACCCAACCTGGAACCGTGAGAAAAGGGAAGGGGGGGCGGAATTTTACTTAACAATTTAACTTCTGTATTTCTTGCAATCTGCAACATATAAGTAGTTGGGAAATTTTTAGGAGACCCCCGTAAGCGCCAAGGAAAATAAAATTTCCAATTCGCATAAATGATGGGAAAAACACCCCCGGGCGGTTTTAAAGTAGGAAAAGAGCGATAAATTCTGTTGTAAGGTAGCGGGAAACAAAATTGTTTCAGTCACCAGTAAGAGCCCCAGTCAGAAAATAATCGTTTTCCAGCAAGCCCTATTTTATGAAAAGTGCAACTACTTGTATGAAGAGGACGAAGGAAGGGGGGAAAAAAAAAGGGGAAAAAGGGCTGGGATAAAGAGCAAAGAACAAAAAGGGACAATTCCCTGACTGGGAATTTAAAACACAAATAAAACCCCCCACATAGGAAAAGGGGCGGTTATGATTGGACCATTGGTTAGTCAATGTTTATGGGACTTGGGACCCAACACACATTGATGTTTTATAAGTAAAAATTTTCTTTTGAGATACCTAATTATATTGAATTGATGGGGGCCCTTTGCTCTAAATTCATAAAGGGGGAGATCACTTTATGGCTGTAAGGGAGCTGAGTTTTAAGCCCGTTTTTTCTCATTTTAAAAGCAAAAGGAGATACTTTCGTTTTTCCTTTTTGGGAACCCCGGGCCCCGGGGGGATTTCAAACCGGGGGGTTTGGGAAAAAAAGAATAGGTTTAAATATAGACACACACACACAATTTTAAAAAAGTAGTTTATAAAGTTGTAAATTTTTTTTTGTAACAGTAAAAAAAGGTGTGGGAGAACTGGGGTAATAGAGAAATTTTTGCTTGGCAACGATTTCGTTTTTTTGGGGGGTGTGGGAGGAGCTTGTAGGCTCCCCCCCTCTCTCTCTCTCTCTCTCTCTTTGGGGGATTCAAAAATGGGAGGCCTTTGGGCCTTTTTTTCTATTTTTTTGGGGAAAAATGTGTGCCACAGGGGTGAGCTTTTATAACTTAAGTTTTTGGGCCCCCTAACCCCCGGGTGACTAAAGGTGTCAAAAAAACTGGTTAGCCCCGGAATTTGTCCCGAAAAAAGAAGGGGCCCCAAATTTTTTTCCGATCCACCATGTGGGGTGTCTTAGAAGAAAAAGTAAAGGGGGGTTTTCGGCTTATGTTTTGGAAAAATGTGGGGTATTATAAATTTTATATTCTGTAATATCTATTTTGGAAAGCCGTTATATTTTTATAGTAGTAGTTTAAATAACCTGTGAAGAGGGTTGGTGAAAGGATATCAGAGACACTGAGGATGATCAGTCATGATGTAAGTATTTTCCTAGACAGATTAGACCATTAAGTAAAAAGCTACCCCACACTAGAACATGTAGTGAGAACCTTGCTATCAAAGTAATAAGGGACATAACAATATGACAATCACACTAACACACGAAGATAAAGGAGCCAGTATATATATATAGGAGCGGAGGACAAGTACGGGACAAAGAGAGGAAGAAAGAAGTGGAGAAATTGTGGTAGAGATAATGCTGGTATTAATAATAATAATAATAATAATAATAATAATAATAATAATAATAATAATAATAATAATAATAATAATAGTAGTAATAGTAGTAGTGGTAGTAGTAGTAGTGGTAGTAGTAGTAGTAGTAGTAGTAGTAGCAGTAGTAGTAGAAGCAGAAGTTGAGTAAGTCTAAGGACAAGAAAATGGAACACTGCAGGAGAACTAATGGCCCACGAGGGTGGGACCAAAAACACAGTCAAAAAAATCTGAAGGACAAAACACACCTGGGCAGAATAAAGGGGACAAAGAAAATACAGAAATCGTGAAGAGGTAGGGAGACGAGTAGAAAAGATAAGGTGAAGTCACAAGTGTTCTAACGTTTGGAGCATTTGAAAATGTAATGAGAGAGGAAGGCATCTACAGTGACAAATCCAGGACTACGATTCATATTAGGAAAGGTGTGTATTAGGGATGTTTCAACAAGACGGCATTGCCAAATGCTGTAGATTTCAGAACACTCGTGACTTGATTTGATCTTTTTTCCTTTCTTCTACCTACCTCTTCTCCTTTCCGATATTTTCAATGTCTTCTTTACCTCTGTCTAGGTGTATTCTGTCTTTCAGTTTCCTTTCCCCATCTCTGAGTGTTTGGTTGCACTCTCGTCAGCCATTAACTCTCTTACAAGGCTGCTTTTTCTTATCCTTAGATTAAACTTCTACTTCGATTACTAATCTACTACTACAACAACAACAACTACTACTTCTACTACTACTACTACTTTTAACTTGCTTCACTTCCCTTTCTGTCTCTTGTGCCGCTACCACTATTTCCCAGGAAGAATCTCTGGAAGAACTAAGAGCCATAAAGGAAATTGAAAAAAAAAAAAACTTTTTTCTTATGCCAAATCTAAGGATAAAACAACTTCTAGTAATGGGCCTCTTACTCAAAGAAATGAGTAAGATACTAAAGTCCCAATACGACTCAGTGTTCAGCGAGCCGTTACCCAGACTAAGGGTCAGCAATCTAAATGAATTCTTTATGACCGAAACCCAGAATGTGGTCATCTCAAAAATCTCTGATATTATCCTAACACCAAAAGACTTTGAAAAGGCAATAAATGACATGCCCATGCACTCTACCGCAGGTTCAGACTCATGGAACTCCGTGTTCATCAAGAACTGCAAGAAGTCCGTGTCACATGCCTTCAGCATTCTAGAAATGGAGAGGGAGCATGGACACAGGAGTCATCCTACACTCATTGAAAACAACAGATATAGCCCCACTCTACAAAGGTGCCAGTAAAACAATTGCAAAGAACTACAGACTGATAGCACTAACATCCTATCTCATAAAAATCATTGAAAGGGTTCTAAGAAGCAAGATCGCCAACCACCTTAGTTACCCCTTAGTTACACAACCCAGGGCAACACGGGTTCAGAGCAGGTCGCTCCTGCCTGTCCCAGCTACTGGACCACTATGACAAGGTCCTGGATGCTACAGAGGATAAACAAAATGCAGATGTAGTATACACAGACTTTGCGAAAGCCTTCAACAACTGCGACCACGGTGTAATAGCACATGAAATGCATGATAAAGAAATAACAAGAAAAGAAGGTATATGGATCTATAACTACCTAACAGAACACAAAAAGGAATAGCAAACAGAGTAAAGTCTGAGGCAGCTACGGTGGAAAGCTCTGTTCCACAAGGCACAGTACTCGCTCCCATCCTGTTCCTCATCCTCTTATCTGACATACACAGAGATGTCAGCCATAGCTCCGTGTCTTCCCTTGTGGATGATACCAGAATTCCCATGACAGTGACATCCATCGAAGACACCGCAAGATTCCAAGCAGACATCAACCAAATCTTCAAATGGGCCACTCAAAACAATTTGAAGTTCAATGAAGAGAAATGTTAACTACTCAGATATGGAAAACTTGAGGAAATTAAAACTGTATCAGGGTATACAACAAATTCTAACCATAAAACAGAGCGAAAAAGTAATGTGAAAACCTGGGAGTGATAATATCGGAGGATCTCGCCTTCAAAGACCACAACAATGTATCTACCGCATCTGCTAGAAAAATGATAGGATGGATAATGAGAACCTTCAAAACTAGGGACGCCAAGCCCATGATGATTCTCTTCAAATTGCTTGTGCTCTCTAGGCTGGAATACTGCTGTACACTAACTGTCCTCCTTCAAGGCAGGCGAAATTGCTGACCTGGAGATTGTACAAAGAACTTTCACGGCACACATAAGTGCGATAACGCATCTAAATTACTGGGAACGGTTGAAGTCCCTTGATTTGTATTCCCTGGAACGCAGGCGAGAGAAATACATGATAATATACACTTGGAAAATCCTAGAGGGATTAGTACCAAATTTGCACACGAAATTCACTCCCTATGAAAGCAAAAGACTGGGCAGGAGATGCAACATTCTCCCAGCGAAAAGCAGGGGCGCCACGAGTACAAGGAGAGATAACACAATAACTGTC